TGAACTCAAGCTAGGATGTTATGAGGGTCTTTTTTTTTAGAAATGAGGAACCTTTAAATAATCTGCAATAACATTCTAATGAAAAATGATTTCCCATGAATTTTGGTAAGAAACAAATAGTACTATTCAGCTAACAATCCACATAAAGCAAAATTATGGTTTCTACTTAAAATTTATGAAATCTGTATAAAAATGTTACCCTACCCCACCCGTTTTTTACCACATGTCTGACCATTTTTCTACTTTAGGGAGCCTAATTCAAAAAATTCTTAAAATTTACCCAAATGAGTGCCTGTTTTCAAAGTTTCCCTAAATTTTTAAAAAGTTATATTGGTTGATCTTGTAAAATATGAAATACTTTAACCGTCTTGTTTTGATAAATATTACACTTTGAAAATATCAGGTACCATATTTATTACTAGATTTAGCATAATTTAGCCAATAAATACCTATATAAATTAAAAATTCAAAATTAAACAATTTTTTCTTTCCATGTGGGACATGAGAGATACATAAATAATGTTAAAAGAAAAAAAAGAAAGAAAAAAAAAGTTGACCCTTCTGGGGATTGAACCCATGGCCCTCATTTTCAATGTAGTGAACAGTAATTCTAGCCTATTTGAATACTCTTCAAAGCGGATGTAATGCATTAGGGTGCTAATACCTTAAGAGATTTTTTGGTTATATTCATTATTATTTTTGATAACTGTTGTATCAAGACGTTATTTTTTGGTTAGTTTTATTACTTATCTTTTCTATTACATTTAAATATATTGGGTGTACTACAACTTTTCTTAATTGAAAAAATAAGTTCATTTTATACATAGAATCGTTGATCTATATTTATATTTTAATGTAGTTGCCGTTACCGCTTAAACGGTAATATTTGAATGTATTCATTTCGTTTCAAAGACGAAATTAATAGAATGTGTTGTTTTGATTTATTTACTCCATTTTAAGATTAAATGACGTTCTTATTCGTTAAGCAATATACAAGGGATAGGTACTTTTGGCTAAAACCTCGTTTTGTATACATTTATGAAGTATATTATGCTGTTAAGGAAAACTTACCTAAACAGTCAGTCGATGCATTCACACTTTACAACAAGTGCTATATAAATATATATTTCTTCACATAAATTGTTCGTAAGCTGATTTACGTACGATGACAAAAAGTGACATGTGTGTGTATGTTTTTATTTATCTCATGCGGACGAGATACTATGTCGTGGACACGTGTAACTAAGTCGTGCGCATGAAAAAATAAGTGGTGCGAAAGAAGATACTATGTCGTATCCAAGAGTTACTAAGTCGTGGCCACGAATTACTAAATAAAATAAACCAGGGCTGATTTCTTCTCAAGTTATGGTATGGAAAAGGTTAACAGGTCATTAGTACGTACGAGTACATAAAGATCAATCATATCACATGATGTTTCTAACAAAGGGCAAAACTTAGAAGATATTAAAATCTGATTTATTGGTCTTGGATAATGACCTGTTCTTATGATGCTTAATACATGTATAGAGTTTGAAGTGGATATCTTAGGTATTGTAATAGATTAACGTTGCATGTAAAATTTTAACCTGACTTTTTTAGGGTTAAAACCTTCACAATTATATAATTCTATCTGATTGGATAATTATCTTTTTTGCACAGCATAATTATCTCGTAAGCACAGCTTAGTAGCTCGTGGCCACGACATATTATCTCGTGGGCACCACTTATTAATATCTAGCGCACAAAAAAGTAACTGAATGCCACGACATAGTTTCTCGTGCCACGACTTAGTATCTCGTGGCCACGACATAGTATTTTGTGAGCACATGTCGACTCTTTCACATCTACATATATTCGTAAAAAATGTTAAAAACCTTACATCTAATTACTTCAGTCGAGACAAAGTCAGTTACTTTGATATAATCTGCATTAGATTGTTTCCGTAAATTATCATCAGAAAAAAGGCAAATTTTACAAGTGACAGAATATCTTATAAACTGTCAGAATATTCAATGTCTAAATTATTTTTGTGATCTTTTTTCATCTGAACATAGCATATCATATTATTACAAACCTCTCATTCATGCGTATCCTGGGCACAAGTGAAGTTTTGAGCAATATGTTTTGTATTTATAAATGCATGGTGTATGTAAGGTAAATAGGGTTAGCGACGAATTGGTGGTTAAGTCTATGGATATATATTACAGTTTGTAGCACTCTTTATATTTTGAAATGCGTAACTCGTTGTTTCGTGTATATATGCGTGTGGGCGCCACGTGCGGTGTGCGTTTGAGATTATTTATACTCGCCAGAGCCCCAATTTTAAATGCTTCTCCTGGTTCTTTAACGTGCCTAGTGTTTAAGTATTCATACACGGGGTACCTCGATTTAAAGTCTAATCCCGAGAGACTGATTAGTAACTTTAATGGACCAGCCCGGGAATCGAACCCACAATCTCGAGGTTACAAGTCTCGCGTTTTTCGTCCCACTAAAGTCTGACTTTTTATTGTTTGCTCGTGCGTGTCCGTGATTATCTGCTATTAGCGCTAGTCTCGGGAACGTCTTTCAAACAATTATACGTGTATGCTGGATCAACGGATTGTTAAACGGGTTGTTTTTTGTTTCACAGTTAAAGTTCTGTTTGTATATCCAATGTCTTTAATGAATGTTAAAACGGCGGAACATACATGTATTTTTTCAGCTACTTCTTGCGGAGAGTCCATTAGCAATTTTATGTCTTTAGACATTTCGTTTAATTTGCAGATGGATGCCTCAATATCTTTGCGCGGTACTGCATGTTGCTTGAATGGCTGATTACAATCTTGACAGTTTTTTATCGCTCACGAATGTCTAGCATGATTTTATTATGAATAGAAAAAATGTACTCTAGACAAAGTTTATTATCAAATTGTTTAACTGTTCCTACTTAAAGAAATATAAATCTAGTTTTTGTTAAGTACCAGTAAATCTTAAAGGGACTCCACTGGGGTTAAAAAGCTTAAAACATAACATTTTAATTTATTACATAAATGAGGCTAGGGCACTTTAAACACAAATATATGCAACGATATTAAGAATTATACTTTGAAATATATTGAAAATGGTTTGTTTACACTTTATACGGTATGTCTATACGTTATAGCTCGATTTGAGTGAAAAGCGTTAAAACGCTTTTCATTTTGTGTCATTTTTTACAATTTGAATAATTATTCTGGAAAGACAAAGTACGCGAATGATCTAAAATTTTGCACAAACATTAGTGTTCTAAACTTAAATCGAATGATACATTTTCTAAAAGCATATTTTTAGTCCCATCATGTCAAAACCCTCAGTAGAGTCCGTTTAACAATTACTGATCTTACTAACAATGTGGTATAAAAAAACTATCATTTTAGAAAATCTAAAAAACTATTAATAGAAAATAGGTCTACTTATCTGTGTTGTTTTTCTTTTCATTTAATGTTTGTATAAGCTGCTATTTTATGTCATAGCGACTGAGTAAATAATAATATTTTTAAAAATAGAACTTCAGAGTGCCGTAAAATCTAATCTAGACATATACGCATAAATACATAACCCTTGCAATACGTATTTCTTAAAGGTCCAAATTGCATCAGTCATACTACCATTTTTATTTTAAAAAAAGTTTAGTTTTTGGTATCTTGTTACAGTTTTTTTTATAGTTAAACCTATTTTCCATATATCTAGGCTTTCTGCAACTGTGTGTATATCTTTTTGTTACATTTCTCTTCCTTCACCACTCAATAATTGAAATATTCTTCTGTTGGTAGATAGAGGGAATAACTACCTTAATGACAATTATTGCACGGTCAGCGCAGTATTTGTATAATTATGTGTGTAATAAAAGTATTAACACTACGGTGTAGCTCATATAATGGGCTAACGAAACGTAATATACAATCTGGAACGAATTTAGCGTGCTTTATTGCTATTTCGCCGTCATGGAAGAATTGATGTTAGAAGTACAATTAATACATTTGAAAGTATGTGAAAGAGTGTTTTTGTTTTTTTAATCAAAAGGATTGCACTTCAAGTGAGCAAAAGGTTATGCTTCTATCAGATGCAAATTAAAGGTATTTATTTCATTTTTTGTTTCAGTTTAGTTTAGAAGCAAAAATATGTATCATTGTCATGTAGTGATTGTTTATATTTTATTTTTATAATATTTGAAATAAATTCAGAAAATAACGTGAAAATCTTTACGGTAGATAACATGACTTCTTATGCAATATATTGTTCCATATACATGTACATTGCACATCACTTCTTCGTCAATTATTGTTTATATTGACACCCAAATAGACAAAGAAGGTTACTTTCTTTTTAAGCAGAAATCGGCATTTCTTTTTTAAAGAACATGAATAATTAACATTTTCTTTATCTTTGCACATTGTAAGAAAATCAATATAATACCTTTTGATACAAAAAATGATAAATACTTACGGATGAAATAATTCTAACGACATTATTAGAACATTTAGAATAAAATTATCTAAATACGTTTTATCTTGTATCTTTAAGAGGACATGTGAAGAAAATAATAAGTGAGTACTCTGAAACTCGTATCTTTATATGCTTTGTTGAAATTAATGCAAATTGCAGACACGTGTAAAATAATTCAAAGGAGATCGAGAACTTCGACTGGGCGTGAGTTCACCCTTATCTCATCTATAATGGATCTTACTAGTTTATCAGAAAGATTAAAGCTATTGATTATAAATAGGCGGGGCTATTTTCTTACTGTTTTAATTTTATTTCACCTTTATATTATGCTATTACAGAGGGTTACATGATTTGTTCATTTTATCGAAGAAATGATAGAATTAAGCAAAGGCCAGCTTACAGTAAAATGAGGAGAAGATATGTATTTTATTATATGAATGGAAAAAAGCTATGACAAGTTTCTTATGAGAGTTACTTTCTTCTATAAATCTTTTTTACATTTACATTTTACGCTTTACCTGAACACATATATACAGAATCTGAGACAAGAGGGCTTTTATAATTACAAACTGCATCTTTATTTCATTTTAATGCTTGTAATCAATAAAAAAAATGATAAAGGTAAAACTAAGTTGTATTATAAAACAATTTAACGTTGTTTCAATATTTGTTTTCAGATATGTGAAAAATAAAACAACACAAAACAACACATGCGATAGACGAAATCAACTAGATATCACACAGTACCTGGATTTTAGGATATGAACGATTATTTTATTGATTGTCTGACAAACTTCATTTCATCACACTTTGCTTATTTATTTTTGTTGTTTTATTTTTAGCAATTAACAAACATATATTGAACAATAGTTACACATATATCGTACAGTAAGTAAGAATAAAAATAAAAAGATAAGTGACGACCAAATTTTCATTTGTTTTATAGGTGATGTTTCAGTTCTTTTCAATAAATACAGATTTGTTTTTTATCGATTGAAACTAGTATGAAAATAGAAATTTCGCGACTAGTGATATATCATAACTTTCATGCCACAATGTGAAATTTAATCCTGTATTTATAGAAAAAAAACTAGAATTTTCTGTTTATAGCGTACATTTTTCTTATGTTCGGCATTAACATTTGAAAGACTACCCTATAATTATGTGATTTGGCTGACTTTAGAAGAATGTAATCCTGCAAGACACCAGTGACAATATGGAAATAATTTCACTGTTACAGTAGTGAAAAATAAATTAAACGGAACCACTCATGTTTATGTAATAAATATTTCTCAATATTTCAGAATTTATATTAAGGATATTCAAGAATATAATGAAAAGAGGATATGAAGTTTTATCTATAATTACGTGTTTTATTTCATCAAGTGATACTGACATAAATATTTCACCAATTGTTGGTTGTAGACACATGTAAGATATAATAATTTGATAATAATCCAGTAATTTTGGAAAAAATAATGTAATTTCTATTAATTATAGTTTTCTCTGTTTTAAAATGATTACCGCAATTACATTAAATTTTATTTTTTTTTTATTTTTTTTAATATGAATATTGACGAAAGTGGTTAAGGCACCAGTGATAAGTACGTAAAATATGTTACATTGCAGTAAAAGTAAACTAATACATAGAAAAATACGAAAATTAAAAAAAAACACATTTCATTTCATAGATTCTTCTGAATATTATTTTTTCGAAAGTGTATAATAAAACACATGCTTAACACTACATTAATACTTAAGAATTAGGTTCAACATATGCTAAACGATTTTTTAAAAAGTTTTCTATTTTACTTAAATAATCAAACGTGCACGGTTAGATATGTGATAAACATATTCATGTCTTTAACAGTAAGATGAATTATTTACAGATAAATGTAATATGTTATATAGCCCATTATTTTTTTTATTGTATACAAATTAATATTGGATGTATTTTTTCTCTCTCTACAATATATTCTCAAACAAAAGTATGAAAACACGAATCTAAAAATGATCAGATAGTTGTGTTATTTTTAACCCTACTTTTTCATATTTAAAAACATATTGAACGTCTACAATTAAAAGAGATGTAATCCGCGTACATGACTGTAATATTGACCGATTTAAAAGTAAGAGAATTCATCAAATAACTCCGAACAACCATTTCCAACATTATCCTTAGAAGATAAACACTTTTAAAATGATAGTCATATATCCGACGAACGGACAGGTACAATGCGTTTCGTCTGAGGTTTAAAAGATAGGGGAATTATTCCCCTATTTCCTCTCTCTACTATATATCTCTCTCTGCATGTAAATTTGTTGCTGAAAAAGGGCCTGCAGGTCGACCCCCGGAAAAAGGACATCTGGAATTTCCTTTTTTAGTCTGGAACGCATTAACTCCTTCAAAATTTGTCTTTATGGGAACCTGAGATATTTGATTACTTTATACGCTTGTTCATGTCAATGATGCAAAACCTCCTTCATCAACATAGTTTTAGAGTGTAGATAATGACGTCTGCTGCATCCGCAAATTTTCGTATATTTTGTCGTCTTGTCGCCTCTTGGGATCTGTTGAAACACAAGTCATAACTAATTAAATAATCGAAGCAATCTTTGTCATTAAATTCAACGGCATTTATGTAAAAAAAACATGTTCGGACTGAAAATCATTTGTTGAAACGTAAAACTATTAATGCACACTTTGAAAAAGCATTTTTGAATAATAGGGACCAACCAGTCCCAAACATTTCATGAATCAAACTTATGTCATGTCATTGTCTAAATCCCTTTTCACGTTACAGAAGGCTGTCCGAAGTGTTATGACCCCTTTCCATAATATCCAAACTTCACGATGATGAAAAGCGACTTTAAAAAGAGTTAAAAGATTCGTTATAATTAAACGTTTTTGTACTGCATGTTGATGCGCCGAATATGGCAGAGTATTATTATAATACCTCTTATTTTACGTTTCGTAGAAGTAACTATTTCAAAGTATATTATATAACCTGCTAGCTTAAACAACATACTACTTTTAGCTAGTTACTTTTCGCTACTTTGTAATTTCCTTTTATTGATGGCGCAAAATAATAAGCATTTCACGTGTGCACAATACTATCATCTGTAAAACACATCATGGCTGTTTTCATATTCTTTCAAATTCGATTGTAAAGTGCATTACCATTACCACAGGACTGTTAATTGACGACGTCCAAACTTATAGATCACAAGTTAAAAGAAAATTAATGCTTTAATAAATACATTTAGTTCTATTTTATTACTGATGTCGCCAATGAAGTCATTGATAAATGAAATATTTATTTCGTGGTTTTACTTGTCTTAGTCTGATATTCAGAGCTTTGGATCTTTGAATCTAACTGATTATAAACATAAACATGTATGGAACGTAACGAAATTTGATACCTGTTGCATATGATAACGAAGAATATGTTGTTTGAGCTTCAGATACCGTTTGAAGACTTTCATATGTTAATCTGAAATGATTAAGTATGTGTTACAATGATGCACATCTCTATCACTTTATGTAAATTTAAAAAATCTCAATAATTTAACTATTATAAATTAAAAAAGTACCAACCAAGGAATATAAAAGAATATGATAAAGAAAACGTTTTCCTACTTCTGTTAATATTCAAATGAATTGCATAACTGACACATAAGATAAGATAATTTTAAAATTATAAAATAAATACCTTTCTTCAGTTTCTGTAATTGTTTTGTCTCCTAAGAAAGAAATATATTATATATAAATTAATATATTAAATGACACTCTTTACATTGACATTACCTTAATTCAGATGTTCTTATAAAATATTGTATATTTATTATAGAAACATTTGTTTCACTTTTGTGGGGGTTACGATATTTTGATTATGAAGAGAATACTCTCGTTGGAGTGAGGTATGTGGTATTGTATCATGTTGAGTGAAAATATGTACCATATTTCACGAAAAACGAAAGAAAAATAACCTTTTGATTTAATTTCATTAGCAAAGAAAAATTGTCACGAATCCCTTTGCCTGCTACGCAACTGCAATTGTTCAGCGCACAGTAAAGATTCGTGACGCAGTTCAATAAACATAAAAAAGTTCGTATGTTAATTTTATTTCATTTTATATTTTTCAAGCGAAAAACAGAGTATATATTTTTAAATAAATGTGAAATGTAATTGGTTTGCGGTAAAACGTCTTGTTTTGATTGTTTTTGCACGCGCTATTTTGGCGCTACATTGTGACGTAACGTAAACAACACCTTAAACATATGTACAGGGTTAATGACTGAATTAAAGATATTGATTTCCGGATTTGTTGTTTATTTTCTATCATTCTAGATAGTATTCAAAACAGAATTCAACAAAAAGTTGTTGTTTATTTGAAAAGATTTTTCAAACAAAATAGCGAAAAAAGTCTCTTAAAATAAGTATAAGAGTTTTGACTCCGCAAACGTTCATATTTATATTTCATATTGATCTTTTTTAACAAATATGAAATATATTTGACTGATATAGCACCATATTTCATGGGTAAAATTAAATTAATATTTATATTCCAACTTAGTTCTTCTTAGATATTTTTTCTTCTTTGTTCTAAAAGTAATTATACGTCATGATTATTTTCATAGGACAAGTTACTTGTTGTTACTCCTCGTTCATATCATTCACTTCTGTTCAAAGCTGGTCATTTATGAACAAGTTTTACCTTCTTGTTTAGATTTCCTTTTCTTCACAATAATGACAGAGATAACGACAATAACAATTACTGCAATAACAGTCGCAGTCAATCCTCCGGCAATAGCGCCTGTATTTTCAGACACGTTCTTATCAATATTTTGTTTCCCTGCAGAAAAAGATCAGATATTTTTTTTCTATGCAACATCTTAAAATTGGAAAAAACTTAACAGACATTTTGAAATGTCTTATTAAACTCAGTGGAAAAGACGTCACTAAGTTGCAAGCTTAACCTTGCCGAATATTTTTAATAACCATTACATTTCAAAAATTTGTTTTGCTCTTATTTCATAGAATTTCAGGAAATAACGTTAATATGACACCATATATAATTAGTAAAAATACAAAGTAAGCAATTCAATAATGTAACGCGAAATCAAGATATACAATGATTTAACTATCCGACGTCATGATATCATGTTTTAGAAATGAAGATAGGCTTTCAAGTACAATACAGAGAATATCCATATCAAATGCATTAAGATTATTGACGGCTCTGCATTTTGTTGGCCTTGGCAAGATTCTTAATTTAACTGATTTATCCAAATTTTATCTGCATGCCTTATTGTGAAAACAAGATGTTAAATGTTAATGTGTAATTCAACCGTAATAAAGATAAAGATATTTATGCGTTTTAGTGGTATTTATCAACTGAAAATATGTATATGTCTCAGAATTTGTACAAATGAACTTACAAAGTGGGTTGTATCTTGGAATTGTTCATTGGTCACCAACAATTTTTTATTCTTGTAAATAGGTTTGCACTTAGTAAACTTTCTTACCTGATGGCAGATAAACAGTAAACTTGACCGTTGGAGCAAGGGTGGTATTTACCCGACCCAGTGTGTTTTCAGCTAACACTCTAAGAATGTAGGTATTTGGTACAAGTCCGGTCAAGTTGAATTTAAAAAGGTTATCATCAACTTCTCGAAAAGCCTTGTCTTTTTCACTGAATCGCAAAATTTCATTCCATTTTGTAGAAGGTGGTATTGAGGTTTCTATCACAAATGTCTGAAGTCGTCCTCCATTAAAATTTCCAATCAAAAGAAAAGTGTAAAATCCATCAACATATCCAGTATAGTATATCGATGTTGGAGCTAATGGCACACCTTGCAAAAAAAATGAAGAAAGTTTTTATGTTTATGTTATGTTTCATCTTCAGTTTACATTAACAAAATTAATCAAACTTTATACAATCACTGAATTTCTTTCAAGAAAACTAGATTACAATTTATACATGTAAACCCGACTTAGAAGAAATAAAGTAATTACTGTTTGTGATATTCGGTGAAAATTGTTTTGATTTACGTTGTCAGTCCGTGAATTATTCTTTCTCCAAACTATCTCTTTTGAACCTAATAAAGGTCCTACACAATATCTATTTCACAATTTATAGAGATTTAGGCTTCTAGGTTCTTCACTTATGTTTACTAATAAGGTAACAGTTTAAGGTCAATGGTTAAAGCTAGCATGTTTTCGTAAGATTTACTTACCTTTTTTATACATGTACTTAAAACAAATGATTATCTCATAACGACGATGTAAACAGTTTTTAAAGGCACAGATAAATGTTAAATGTGAGCTCATACAGGACGGGTTGTTAAAATTAACCAATGGATAGCTTATCCACTAGTTAAATACTAAACCAGCGTCCAGTTATCCAGTGGATAAAATTTCATTGTTCGACAGTTGGATAGTACCCTGGCTACTTAAGCAGTGGATTGCGTAATATCCACTGTTTAAGTACCACAATGCAACATCACCGGTTAGTGTTTCTTGAAAACAAAATGACCGATTTATTGATGAATAATAAACTTTTAAGAATCAGGAAGCTCCCAAAGACTTATTCATGCATGTTTTGTGCTTTTATGTTTTTAGAATTTAACAAAAAGTGTATCAAAGGCCTTAAAGTATCGATAGATATATTTTACCCTAAGACACACATAAAAAAACAACATTTTTTTTTTCAAATTTTTAATTGAAATTCCATTAGATGGGTAATGTTCTAACTAAGAAAATAAGTACTGACACTTGTATGTTTTATCAAAAAATAAGAAAGTTATGACTGTTTAACTGAATTTTTCGGATCTACAACAACAACAAATTTAGACTGAAAAAGGGTTCTAAAAGCACTTTTTCAGAAATGTTTTAATTTAATCCTGTGCATTATATATTCTAGTTAAGAAAACAATAAACATATATTTGTAAGGAAAGTTTTTGTTTTAAACAATTTTTAATGATTTTTATTGTTTTAATGATGATGGCTAACCACTGGTTAAGGGCATTTTCCGGTGGTCATAGGACTGGTTGAAGTTAACCACTGGATAACGCATTTTATCCGTTAGATAACTTTTGAACAACAGAATTTATCCAACAGACAAATTTTAGCCAATAGCTAATTATTTTATCCCTTTGGGTACCACTTACCAATGTTTTGAACAAAAGGGTCCAGATGTTTGCAGACTTATTATTTCTTACTGCTTGTCAATATAAGTTAAGGATAATATCTTTGGAAGATCCGTTGCTTTAAGTGCCTCGAAAGACACCCGTGATGTAAGCAAATATATTCATGTCTATAGATGACGTGCATAACATATATTCTAGGCTCACATTTAATGAAGATGATTATTTCATTGTGACATAATTACAAAAACATTGTGACATAATTACAAAAAAAAAAAAAAACTATTTTTGATAATTAGTTTCGATCATATCTCAGTTTTTGTCTTAATCTAGATATTAAAGTTGTTACAAGAAACAGATTTGCAATCATTGGTATGTTTGTATCTAAAGTTTCATACAGTAAAATGCACCTACAAACTATGTTGAATTTAATTGTACTCAATTTTATCACATTGTTTTATTTATTCTTTTTTAATCGCCTAGGCGTTGCAAACACAGATGAAATGTCGCATCATTTTATAAATATATAAGTTAAACAGTAAAAAATGTGTATTCCTTAAAAAGAATAAAAAACCTACTTTCTGATATATGATGTATATTCCAGTTTGTCTGTTCTCCTATGCCATTTTTAAGCAATAGGGTGTAATTAACAAAGTATTTTTGTTCTTCTTTCTCTATTCTCAGTATTGCAATATATCCTTCCAATTCCACTGTCTGATCATAGAATTTCGTTGTCACATTTTTACGTGTGTAAGATATTGTATACTTATTAGAGTTCCTGATTACTGTTCCATTTTGAAATTGAAAATTCACTTCCTTTATGGCTGGATAACTAAAGAATGGTATAGTTATATTTACAGACTTTCCTGGCGCTCCAACAAATATATAACCATCCTCTAGAAGGACTTTAGGAGAAACTGAAAACATAAACACAATTTTATTTTATGCAACGATGAAAAGGAATAACATGACATGTTTTTCCTTCTTTATTGCATTTCGGTGTTACAATGTTACCTCTCCAAGTATTGCTTTCTGAAATTTAATTATTTGGTTATCCTTTAATTGTGGGGAACTATTGCTTGTTTTTTTACAACATTCGTTATAAATCATTCCAAAAAAATCTTGCCGAATGAGGTTATATAATTATCATGAAAACAACTATAAACGGTATAAATAATATGGAACTGTAACAGTGACGGTTTTTGAAGTTAATCATAACAATATTGTGAAATAATGCAGAAATATTTTCATTTAAAATGTTGTAATAGTATTACTTTTGTCCGAACAATTAAAGCAGAAGGACCCCAGAAGGTAACATAAAAACTACCGTCGTACTAAAATTTCAAAATCCGTCATCAAAAACACTATATAGTTAAATGAAATAGAAACGGCACTTCAAAATCTTCATATTTTAACATTCATTCTCTGAAAACAAACAGTTTGCTTTTCCGCCGACGGGATATACCTTGATTTTTTATATTACGGAATTCCTTCATCCGGGTTTTTTTCTAGTACAACGTGATTGAACAGGACAGTATCGCGACCAATGACCCGGAACGCTTGGAATCCGGGATCGTATCAAACATAGAGGGAAACGAATAAACTGCTTTGGTTTTGATATTTGTAGTATTTTGTGGCGCTAAAAATTATAATTGATTAATTCTATAATATAAATAAGGGCCAGTGTATTGATTTAAACTTTAGCAGAACCTACTCATTGTCGAACATTGATGAACGACCCCGACTGTACCGGTTGAATCACTGTTGTGACACGTCACCGTGTTGATTGAATTATCTTCTCCTATTTATATTGGCTACAGCGTTAGTTACTTAGTTAATTATGTAAAGAAGAAACGCGATATGTTGATGCTTTTGTCAACATTCTTGAATTAAGATGTCAGTAGTACTTGATTTATACAATTAACCTAACTTAATCATAATTTACTATTTACTTGAAATTTTATTTCATTTTTATCATTTTACCTTCTGGAGGCGTGCCGCTTAAAAAACAACAAGAAGAAAGAAAAAGGAACAGGGTCATGCTGGTTCTAGACTGTTCCTGTAAGCATGTCAAGGTCATTTATCTTACGTCTAAGCATTGTTACATTGATCATGAGTTATTGAGCATTTTCAAGGTTCTCGGTTAGTTAAATAATGTGATCAACGACGATCATGAAATAACCTTTTTGTTTCTTTAAGAGCATATACTAAAATAACCCCAATACAGCTTTGAAGAAGCTTGTTAGTCAGAACATTGATAGCGATCGTTACGAAATGCTCAACATAATATGCTCAGGTATTCTTAAATGTACAAAAGGCCAACGATACAGATTTTATGTTCTAACTACGTTTTCATTTATTTCTTAATTGCATTTTATTTTATTTAAATTCAAAAATTCATTTAAGCTTTCATTTATTTTAATCAAACGGCAGACGTTATGATTGATGTATAGCATTTTTCAATCACGCATGAATAGATGATATTTTAGATAAAATAAATTGATCGTACATAAAGAGCTACATGTAGATACATTTTGTACTTCGCCGGGCAAGTTTCTATTTTAAGAGCATATACAAGTCTCTGGTTCCTTTTACTAATCGGTTTCTAACAAATGGGATATACACTTTGAATGCATTAAAGTCGATTCGACAATATTTGTTATGTTGTTTGAACATTGTTGGACTGTCATTAATTTGTATTGAAATTCAAAAAACCCAACATTTGTTTGGTAAATCGGCTTACAATCTTTTTTCTATTTAATAAGATCATGGTAAATAAAAGTAACTTCTAAAGCCTAATTGGTAAGTATATAAGCTTTAACTTTATTAAATTTATAATTTATGAAATTTGTAAACGGCTTTGCCCTCCTTAGCTAATTCTATTTGAGAAATATTGACTTATAATTGCTAACTTATACTTAAAGTATCATTTACTATTTGTTCACAAATAAAGAATCACACACATAACAACAAAACAAAACAGATCATACACACGCGCCCACGCCTCCCACACACACACGCCAAAAAAAATACCATGTTGAAAAATACATGTATGACCTGAATGAACCTGACTTGTAATAGAAACTGTCAAAATCTCATACAACATTTTAATGTCAGTTCAATACAAATATGTTTTGTTTTATTGTTTTAAAGGGATAACAAAGATTAACCAGGCAAACGCAACGTTCACATGACGCAGTTCAAACAACCTCTTTTTCAATTTTCTTCTTCGTCTCATTTATTCTTGCCTTTGCATATCATTAACATATTATGGACGATGAACATATCCTAAGGGTAATTAACCGGAAAAGAACAATAACTACCACAAACATGCACCCACAACAATCATGTTGAGCTGAACGATCTTACAGGAAAAATACAACATCTTTAAGAAAGGGAATTAAGTAAGTTATACAAATCGCTTGAGCAAATAAAGAATAATAAGAAAGATATTCGTAACGTGTTTTTAACACGTATGGCTAGTGATATTTAAGCTTGATTTTTCAAAGGAAATATGGTCAGGTTTATACTTCTTATCTGGGTGTTGGCCGAACACTTGGGTTAAAATAGGGGAAAAAATGTCTGCATGAAACGTTTTGTTCGACAATATACTTCATAAAGCACTTAGGTATTTGCTTGTTCGCACATGTATTTGAGATCCCTCATAGGAGGAACTCTCTGTCAAACGCTAATTACTCCTCTAGGATGCATTTTGATACATTTAAGACCCTTTGTTAACTTACAAAATATCTAGTTAAGGTGATCAATTTAACTTAATTGAAAACGGATGCTCATTTGTACTCACGATATTCAGGTAAATTTTCAAAGTTAATAACTCATTGCCGTTTGTGAACTTTGGAAATTCCTGCAAATAAAACTTTATGTAGCATCAATCTTAAAACATATTTAAGATATTCACTGGAAAATTGAGACATGCCTTTGGGTCTGCCTTTTTGTTCATTGGAACTAAATACATAATTCGATTTGTAACTCTAACATCTATCTGGGACTTGATGAAAGCCAACTGTGAAATCAATGCAGCATGCCTTCAGATTCCTGCTATTTTTGATGAAAATTTTTAAAGTGTAATTAAAAGCAAAATATATATTGGAGTGAACGCCGAATTCAAGTTACACTTTGCAAACTTACAACTAATGTGAAAAAGGTCAAAACATGCAAATAATATGATGATAAATACTGCATAAACAGTTATTTGTGCTACATAAGTGATTCATTTTTTCTGTCATTATGACAGGAACAACATTCACACATAATTTCCTTCCTTGTTTGTTGCATCTATTGCGCTCAGCACTTTCATTCAAAATCTTAAGACGTAAAAGCAGAAGTGGCCTTGGTAATATTTTAATTATTAAAAAAAAATTAAAGATAAAATACGTAAAACCTTATTAACCAATTCTGTTGATAAAAGACTTCTGGATAAGATGTAATTTTTTATTTAGCTTTACAACTAAAAATTCTGAAAACATAAAGTTGTTTTTAACCAAAAACATAGAGAAAACTGAAATTGTAAATGTTGCAGGCTCGGTTTGATTGAGCCTGTTCATGGACGGTACTGGAAAGTGCAAATTACCGTCCACTCCACCTAGCAATGGCTTTAGCTGACGAATATGGTGAAATTCGGAATTAAGAAACATCTGCAGATGTGTTCATACGCCGGTTATCATGGAACCTTCAATGTGACACAGAAGTGCCATTCCAGGAAAGACGGCGTATGGCCCCAAAATAAAACAATGCGTGTGCCCTAAACGAGATAACAATGGGCGGGATCAAATAGTTTTGAAAGGGGATCCGAGGTTATAAAACCTGCATGTCACAAACAAGATCTCAAAAGACAATTTAAAAAGCAAGCAGCATATCCTAAGTGTGATAATACAATATTCTAGTAAGAATACTGGAACCACCCAAGTTGAATAAGGCAAAATAGAGGAAACTAAAAATATCACATAGCATGTAAACACAACAATAATAAGTCTGATATGACTGATAATTTACTAAATCCGATATAATTGACTATCATATATCCAACTATAGGGTAAATAAAGATTACAAATAGTGTCTACGTAATATATATATTATTGTATATAGAAATTAGATAAATAACAAACTGAACAAAAAATGAATATATTTTAGATTACTAATCATACTAACCTTTGACTGAAACATCAGTTTTGCCAATCTGGTTAAGTTGCTGATATCTGTCAGATATACCATTATTCACATGACAAGTATATGTCCCACTATCTTCAAGCGTGAGTTTCGGAATGTTGATAATGCCATTAAAATGTCTATCTCCTGGTAAATGTGTATTTGAAATCCTTATTCCTCTCCATGTCTGCACCATTGATGTAAATGTATATTTGGCTGGTCGTCCAGTAGCATGGCAGCTTATTTGTAAACTTATGTTTTCTGCAGGATCGAATTTACTTAGAAGCACTGATACGTTTGGGGGATCTAAATAGATAAAATCAGAGCTATCACTTAATGTGAGTAATACCCCCGCAAGACTGCTTCGGAAATGAGGACGTTACTAGTAACAGAATACCATGTAAAATAATTGAAAGTGGGCAATAAAAGATAGTTGTGGTTCTTATAAGTTGCAATTCTTCCATTGTGGTTGACCTTTGATGAAGTTTTATTGAATTACTCTGTCATAAGGCCTGATAGAGTTACAGTTCTTGAGCACTGCATTTCCTCTCATTGCGTCTGACCATTGTATGAAGTTGCATTGAATTCCAAACATTAGTTTTTAAGTGTTTCACTGGACAAGCAATAACTCGACAAATATTAAAGATACAGTTATGGTCATTGTACACTACACTACCTCTTATTGCCTTAACCATTGTATGAAAGTATATTGAATTCCAACAACTAGTTTTCAAGTAATGCACTGGAGCAAAAACGTAACAAAAAGGGAATTACTAATTAATTAGTCCAAATAGAGGTATGGTTCGTGTGCATTGCACTTCTTCATCTTACTGTGCTTGACCATTTTATAAAGTTGATTTGAATTCCAACAATTAGTTTTGAAGTAATGCTCTTGACAAAAAGTAGCAAAGGGCAATAACTATGTAATAAGTCAAAATAGAGTTATAGTTCTTGAGTACTGCACTTCATTGCACTGCGCTTGACCATTTGAATTCCAATCATTAATTTTCAAGTTATGCACTGGACATTTAAAAGTTACAAAGGACATACTCTAAAATGAGTCAAGATAGGGATGTGGTTCATGTACACTTCGCTTATTTTGAATATACATGACCATTGAACGAACTTGACTTGATTCCAATCAGTAGATTTCATGTTATTCTGCAACAAGGGAAAGTAACAAAAGTCAATCACTTTCTAATAACTCTGGATAGAGTTATGTTTCTTGTGCACTGCATTTTCACGTATTGTGCTTGACCATTGTATGAAGTTGCATTGAATTCAAACCATAACTTTTCAAGTTATGCATCGGTTAAACAAAGGTAACGAAGGCAATAGCACTGTGACAAGTCAAGATGGAGTTGTAGTTCTTAGGCACTGCACTTTGTCCAAATGTTCTTGACCATTGTTTGAGGTTGTATTTAATTCCAAATAGTGCTTTTCAAGTTATGCTTCAGAAAGAAAAAAAGCAATGGAAAAGAAACAAAGGGCAATCACTCTTAAATAAGTCTGGATAGAGTTACGGTTGTTATGCACTGCATTTTCACTTATTGTGCTTGACCATTGTATGAAGTTGCATTGAATTCAAACCATAAGCTTTCGAGTTATGCACCGGACAAGAAAAAGGTAACGAAGGGCAATAGCTCTGTGACAAGGCAAGATGAAGGTATGGTTCTTGGGCGTTGTACTTCTCCAAATGTGCTAGACCATTGTATGAAGTTGTATTGAACTCCAAATAGGGCTTTTCAAGTTATGCTTCAGAAAGAAAAAAAGCAATGGAAAAGTAACAAAGGGCAATCACTTTTTAATAACTCTGGATAGAGTTACGGTTCTTATGCACTGCATTTTCACTTATTGTGCTTGATCATTGTATGAAGTTACATTTAATTTCAACCATAAGTTTTCAAGTTATGCACAGGACAAGAAACTGTACCGAAGGGCCATAACTCTGTGACAAGTCAAGATGGAGTTAAGGTTTTTGTGCACTGCACTGTCTCATAATATGCTTCACCATTGAATTAAGTTGTATTGAATTCCAACCACAGTCAACATGTAATGATCAAGACAAGGAAAATGTAACGGACCGATTGACCAATGGACCGACAGACCACCGGATGACTCCTATATACACCCCTCCCTCACACACACACTTCGTTTTGGCGTATAATAAAAATCTGTATAAAATTTTGTATTTGTTTGCTTAAGGCCTCAACAGACTGTAGGATTTTGCAGTACAACACCAATTAAAACTAAGATGTACAAGCAAATCTTATTGTGTGAAGGCTACTATTTCTTGAATTCATACAACTAAATTCTATATGTACCAGAAAGGTCATGCTCTATCTCTTAAAATTTGTTGCACAGACCTCCCGCAATGATAGGCGTTAATTTCCCAATTATCCCCAGATAATGTGTTTAATGATTGAAATTCCAGAACAATAAGGGCCAAAAGGGAAACATAGTAGTAAGATGGGGTAAAATTATGTTGGAGACCCAAAGTTGTGGCATGTTCGAATCCCAATTTATTCCAAAACTGATTATGTCATTGCATTGAACTGTTGTCTAATCAGGAGAGGTAGTTTGTATTGCCGGATAGCTCAGTCAGTAGAGCCGTAGTACAGTATTCCGAGGGTCCCAGGTTCAAGTTTCGGTCGGGCTGCACCTTCATCTCGTCATGTGACAATTATAGACTTCATACATCATCTCTAATGAGTGTTGTTAAACTAAACCCTACCGTCTGTTGAAACTACATTACTTTTATATGTGTTTATTTATAAAAAAAACATTAAATAATTTAAACTGTCAACAGAACAACATGGTAAATTGAGCAGTAAAAGCAAGTCTTATAATACATTACTTTAAAACAAAGGTAAATATCCATGAGCAAGTGTGTACTTTTCAGCGTAAAAGCTTATTTCTTAATGAGTTCAGTGTTAAAGATTTGTTTTACAAAGACAAACTTATTTTTATTACCCTGAACATAAAGCAGGCAAAACCTACCGAGAGGAATAACATATTTTTTTCAAGTCTGAAACTATTAATTTATAGAGTTGATTGTAATAAAAAGTCTGTGTCTGTGTAATATGTATATATTTAAGAAATAACATCGGCCTGAGAGGTGTATATCGGCTATTTAACACCGGTTTGGAGTTTTGATGCGTAGGAATTGACCACGAAGGCCGTAGGCCTGAGTGGTTAATTTTGTCGCATCAAAACGACAAAATCGGTGTTAAATAGTCAATATACACCTCTCCGGCCGATGTTATTTCGATTCTAACACGATAAAATAAGGAAAATCACTAAACTTATTTTACAAGCGGAAATAACTTCCGGTGCCGATTTTCGTATAACGCTGTTCGATTTTCGCACCCTACTATTGCGAAGATATAGAAATTATCAAACAAAAGAAATAATAAGATAAAAAAACGTTATTTTATCATGTTTTCAACAATAAAAACTTACGTCGTATCGTGTTTACATCAGTGCCCCTTTTATCGTTCTTGTATGTATGAAATAACGTCAGCTTGTTTATGAATGAGTTGTTTACTTAGGATGACGTCATTTACGCTGCTTACGGATTGGCGCCGTTTTGTCAAAGTAATTATTAACTGATATGGATCTAATATGTGGCGTTAGTGTATGTGAGATATTATTTCGGTATTGTATAAAAAGAAAACATTATAAGAACTGAAAATATAAATAAAAATGCTTTTTATTGTTGCTTTAAAATGCTTTGTAAACTATACAATCGAGGGTGAAAACATAACAGCGCATATACAAGTAGTCCTTAACCGGTGTTTATTGTCAGTTTAACACCAGTTTTTTTCCTTCTTTGTCTATAGTGACAAAATCACGTGAGTGTTAGAATAATGGGTAAAATTTACTTCATTGGAAATAACCAAAACTTTAGATAATTTACTTACAATTAACAATTACATCAATAATTGTTTCTGTAACAAAATCATGGTTTCGATATATTTCCGAGGTCGCCTCAGCTCTACATGTATATCTTCCATGATTGTTGCGATCAATGTCATGAAATAATAAACTGGAACTGCTCAGGCTCTGCCCAATCCATTTTACTGTTGGTGTTGGATTTCCTGTGGCATTACACAATGCTGACAATGTCTGACCCTCATTTCTTGTCACAGACTCCGAAATTATTCCATCTACCATAATGTGGGTAATTGGATTATCTGTAATGATTAGAAGACCGATATTTATTTGGAATGATATTATCTCATTCAAAATCATTTAACACTTGGTAAAATACAGAAATTATAACTTTTCAAACTATCATCTGTGTAACACTGGATTTTATTGATGTATGTTTATCTTTTTTACGGTAAACATTTTAGGATGACATTGAAAGATTTACAGAATTATTGACTCTATGTTGATGTGATAATACATTTTGTCTGACATCATACGTCCTTCTACTCTGATCTATGTGGGAAGTTGGCAATAACTTGTAGAGATTAGGAATGTATGGATCAAGAATCCTGGAACACTGGTAAGGTTAACTGCCCAACGATACATACATGAAATATTGTGGAACACAGTGTTTACCCCACACAAATATGATTTCATATTTCTGTATTTGATTTATATGATGTTTTTCCTTAAGGTGAGGAGTCTTCGTAAGCATGAGGCTATTGTGTTTTATACATCATGAATGTTTAATTATAAGTGAAGTTTATACAAGCATTTTGAAGGTGGAAATGGATCATCAATAACGAATCTTGTTCCGCCACATATCATTATGTTAGGGGATATTCATATTTTGTTGCACAAAACTGAATCACAATTTTTAGATTTGAAAAAAACATTGACTGTAATAGTGTTATTTCATTCAGCTTTATTAGTGCATGTAATTTCAAATTATATTTGGCAAACATGTTTTTGGTTTAATTTATTTAAGATAACTTTTTTAAAACCTTATGTATCTATAAGGAGTGTACTGAATATAACAACCAGACGATACATATAAAAGCCGGGAGGGCTTGATATTGCAATAAAAATATTGTCAACTCATTTTTTTCATTTCTTAGTATATATGCATGATAAATATGAACTTACTGCACCAAGAGCGAAACATTTAGATTTATAAATTATATTGCGATAGCATTTTCTAGATTGAATAAGTAAAGAACATAATTATTAAAAACAGATTTCATATTTGTAATTCTTGAACAATGGACATATATCTGTAATATACCAGGATGAACAATTCGATTAACAAGAAAAAATATATGTCTTGTTCCGTTATATCGTTATACTTTGGGATATGTAAACATTGCATAACGAAACAAAACAGCTGTTTGCAGTCTTAAAGATTGCATCAAGATAATGTCCATTTAGAAATGGGTATTCAGTTAAGTTCGAATAAGCTCTAAATGGACTGTCCGCTCGGCAGTTTCATTTTTGCATTCAGAAACATATCGTTTAAAATAGCTATGTCGCATGTGGTGCCCCAATATTTGTTGTAACGTTCTTTACAGTATAAATAGTCCTTTGAAAATAACAAATGTTTATCATCAATCTCAATAATGGCAGTGTTAAACATGCATACAAACTTTCATCTACTTTAAAATGTTTCACTTTCATGGCAAAATAAAAAAAATAAGTACAAAACTGTAGGAAATAGACAGAAAAGACTGTACTGGTTTTTATACTTACATTCCACTTCTAATTTCACAGGTGGAGACTTTATAGTTGAACCTTTGACCTGTGTAAAATTATTATCAAGCTGACAAAATACAGAAGAACCATCCATCTGTGACGTCATAGTTGGTAAATTTAGTCTTCTAGAATCACTGTTGTCAGGTGTACCATATTGTTTATTCCATCTTGCTGTAGATGCTGGATTACCATAATCTTGAGAAGAGCAATAAATGCTTCTTCCTGTCTGGTTTTCTAGGAAAGGAAATTCTGATGTTGGTATAGATGGAGTAGCTGGAGGCCCTGAAATAAATAACATGTATGTAGAAAGCAATTTCTTTAAGTCATGAAAACTTATTCAAAACAAAAAAACACATCCTTTTACATTATCAATATTCACTGCTTATAGTTGCACCACAAATAAAATGATGTGTGTCCAATTTTTGGTTCCCGTCACAAATAGAAAAAAATGACTATTTAATTCTATAAAAAAATTATTCTGCAAATAAATCTGAATATACGAGTACAAGGGTAAGTATATAAATATTACATGTGACTTGATAGAAAAGAAACATTTTATTAGCAATTATCAATGATAAAAAATATTATATATAAAATGCATTAATGATTCAACAATTACATACAATACACTGTTATAGTCTGTTGTGCACTGGGTCTGTTGTCTTGTCCTGATACAACAGACTGACATGAAATAACTTTTCTGTTATCAACTTTTCTAGGTGTAAATGATACAACACTTTTCACCGAAATAAGATTTCCTTTATTAATATTTGTGTTATTTATGTTTGTTAGGCTAGATGAACCTTTCCACCATGTTACTGTGGCAGCTGGTCTTGTTGCTGATGTTATACATTCCATAGTGATGGGATCATTCTCTAGCAATATCATACTACCAGTTGTCTTGTTGGTTAGTGTAGGTGTTGCTGCATATACTATAAATATCAAAAGTATTACAACTTGGTTATATTATACCAGACATAAAGCTATGTTTATATTTAAATATTATATAATCCTGAAGAAATGGAAACAATTTGTAAAATTAATAACTCATCTATCACTTCAAGAGCTCTTCAAGTTAACAAAGAATGCATGTGATTGTTTTTTAATGTTAGATCCCCCAAATGGGAACCGTAAATCTTACTACAAAGGTCAATTTTATATGCCTTAAAAGACACATGTATGCAAAATGCAAACAAAGTTTACTACATAGTTAACGAGTTATGAATACATTTTAGTCTAAAGTTTGTAAGAAATGACGAAACTCTTTAACATCTATGAAATCGTTCTTATGAAAAAAATGTTCTCCCATTTATAACTGTTATGAAACAAATAATAACATTCAACTAACAATCTTCAAAAGCAAAATAATTGGTACTAGTAAAATCAATGAAATATGCTCGAAACATTACCCTACCCTATCCACTTTTAACACTTGTTTGACAATTGTCCTACTTTGAGAGCATACTTTAAAAAAATCCCTAAAAATAAACAGCTTCCCTAAATTTTCTCAAAAGAATATTGGCTAAGCTTGTAAAACATTAAATACTTTTACCAAGACGTTCTGATTTATTTAAACTTTAAAATATCAGGTACAATTTCTATGTCGACTAAACATTATTTAGCCATTACATACCCATATAAATCACATGTATATTATTGAAATTTAACATTCCTTCTTTCCAAAAGGGATATAAGAGACAAATAGATAATGTTAAAAGAGAAAACAAACGAAAAACAGTTGACAGTAACTGTTCCGGGGTTTATACACACACAACTCCGTTTCAATGCAGTTCCAGCCTATTTGAATAGTCTTCAAGGCAAAGGTAATGCATAGGGGGTCTTATTATAATACAATTAATTAACGCTTTAGCTGTTGATTCATTTGATAAATATTTTATCTATGTTTCATCCTTTTATAAATTATAACACTAAAGATCTAAAGATCAACATGGGAGAACAACGTTAACAGAAAGCGGGCCAATCATTACAAAAGCACAAGTATTAATGATGAAAGTTTTTAATGTGAACGAATTTTGCACTAAATACAGTATTCTAACTTAAAAACAATCAAACTTTGGTATCAAATTGCAGACTATTCATTTAATTAAAATTAATCCTTTTTCTACATCAATTAAAAATATGATAAACCTGTAACATAAAGCGTTGATTTATATGAAATAACAGCTTGACTCTCAGGTTGTGTGTTAAAGGCTTTACAGTAGACCTGTTTGCTATGATAACTGTTCTGTGGGTTGAACGTGAAGGTTTTAGAGGTGGATCTTTGTTTCTCTTGTGTTCCAATATACCATACTATTGTAGCTGCTGGTCTGCTTACACTTGTTTCACATGTAAGTGTCTTACTTACACCACTTACAACTTGTAGTTGTCCAGAAACTGTACTTGATCCATCTTTGAGTGTAACACTAGATACTTGAACTGATGTAAACATAAATGAACAGTTCAGGTTATATTGTTTAAAGCTGTAGGATAATTTTTAAAACATATTTGTTCTACAGTTAAGAGCAATGCAAAACCATGTTTCTTATGAATAAAGCTTTTTTTATAGATATACATTACATGTATTCCTATATGTCAAACATTAATAAGACATGATAATGTTACCATTTTAAAATTTATGCTTTCTTAGCTCAATTTGAGTGAAGGCGTTTAAACGCTTTTCATTTTGTGTCATTTTTCTACAATTTGAATAACTTTTCTTGAAAAGCGAAGTGCGCGAATGATCTGAAATTTTGCACAAAGATTAGTGGTCTAAACTTTCAATCAAATGGAACATTTATCTGGAAAAAATATATTCAGTCCCACCGTGTTAAATAACCACAATGCACACATTAATGGTAGCCTAGTGTCCCTTTAACATGAGCAATAATGTGGTTTTTGACAATGAGATTATCAAACCACAGATTATGCCCTGTTAGCACAGTCACATACTCTCTGTACATTGTCGTGTTCTGTTAGATGAATATAACTTGTAGATTAATACTATTTAATTTATAATATTATTAACTAAAACAACAAATATACTGTAAAAGACACCTTGCACATTAAGCGTTGATTTATATGAAGTGACAGCAGCTTGACTCTCAGGCTGTGTGTTAAAGGCATTGCAGTAGACCTGTTTGCTATGATCACTGTTCTGTGGTTTGAACGTGAAGGTTTTAGAGGTGGATCTTTGTTTCTCTTGTGTTCCAATATACCATACTATTGTAGCTGCTGGTCTGCTGACACTTGTCTCACATGTCAGTGTCTTACTTACACCACTTACAACTTGTAGTTGTCCAGAAACTGTACTTGATCCATCTTTAAGAGTAGCACTTGATACTTGAACTGATGTAAACATAAATGAACAGTTAACAGATAGTAAACATGACGTTTGTTACATGCTAGGAAGGAAACTTGTATTGTGTGGTAATTTAAGGGTTTTCTTGGCCTTTTATTGTGCAATCAAAAATGTACTTTTTCTATTGATGACAATATACATTGAACCAAATTATTTCAAAATGGTCATTCATTAAATTGCAATGTTTTTCTTTTTTGTTGTTTTTTGAGAAACTTGTTGTTGTTTTTTTTAACAATACTTGACTTGTATTTACCTAAACCATAAGTCATCTGTTTCCTACCTACATATCATTACTGATGTTCAGATAAAAATCATTCAAGCATTAATTACCAAAGTAACAAAAACTAATGCTAGTCACATGCAGCACGGAGAAGTTGAATATGGAAAAATACCATGCCATTTATGTTCATTGTAAACCGATACTTTTTCTTGTCTTTTTTTCAATTTGGCATATAGTGATTTTCCGTTTTGACAAGGATTAAAAACAATCTTGCAGATCCAGGATTGTTAACCAGTAGCATATTTACACAAGTCCATATCGATTTGCAAATGACAAGTGTAATTTTCATTCCCTGTTTTTCAGATTTACCTATAAAGTGGTCAGACCCATGATGCTTATGAAATGCAGCAAGTAGAAACGATCACAAGAACATAATCTTTCGATGTCATTAGATGTCACATGCATGGAATGTTATTACTTACCGATCTTTTCCGTTATTAAGTAAAATGTTAGATGTACTGTTTATAAATGAGTTCAATTAAACTACAGCTACAACATGTTGCCGTTTTTCGTAATTCTAAAAGAGTCCATTTTTTTAATTATGTGGACATGTTAACTAATTACAGTTTACAAAATCTTTATAACTTTGTCAATATTGAAAAAGTGTATGGCTGTTGTTGAACAACTAAGTTTTTGAAATACAGTGATTGAGTTTGCTTACATCATCATTATTCTGTTATTTACTAGATCCACTTCGGGAATTGGTTTTAAAAGTTTAATGTGACCATATAGATACAATTTTAAAACTTTAAAGTGTCTATAAAATGTGTAGTACTTCACAGTTTTGTTTGAGAAGACAATTTACTGTTATTCTATTTCTTTTATCAAAATAAATTAAGTTCATTTAAATATTTACAATATTCATATATAGTAAAATATACTCGGACAACGAGTGCCCTGGTATGTTCACAATGGGCACACAAAATTAAGAAATGATCAATAGTTTTTACGTAAGTAATGTTCCAAAGATTTATAATTAGAGAATTCAAAATTATTTGAAATTATCCAAATATGAAGACCTAATGGAAAACTACGTTCGCAAAAACATGAATAGATGGATGCCGGATTTTCAAGTATTTTTGACTTCTAATTTCAGTTAAAGCAATATAAACAAATCCCTCTCTCTTTGATAACCACACAGAGTACATATTTGCCACCACAGCATCAGTCTATATGACACTGACCATACATTTGATAGACATTGGAACTAGAACCATTAAACTAAACCTATTTAAGCTTATTTAAATATATAAAACCAAATACAAAGGTTATACTTCATTGTTTAATATTTGTTATCGAACTGTACCATGTTTTAATAATAAAAAAGAAATGAAACAGGCAAGAAATCCCCCAAAAACAACATTTTCTAGAACATTTTATTATCATCTATATATATATATAGGATGTTATACATTTGACTGTACAATAAGGACACATATTTCGACAAGTACACAGCTTGAAAGGTAACATTGGACGAGCCGATAGGCTAGTTCAATATGATTTTTCAAGCTGTGAACGAGTCTAAATATATTCCGTATTGTACAGCAAATTGTATGATAAGTTTTTTATTATACATCTTTCGTTTAATTTGAAATATGATCATCATCACCTCCAACAAAACAACCACTTACATCATCATCCACACCACCACCATTATCAGCAACAAAACTACTACCACTATCAACAACACCATCAATATAACCCCCAAAATCACAACTACTACCCCCACCATCAATAATAGCCCTGTGACGCCTATCAAAATATTAAAGACGACAAGGTTACAAAATATCACATTGACACCCTTTATCTAAATAATCACATCGACAATGATATAACGCTTATATTTAGCGCGTATGTTTTTTTTTAACGGAAATGACGTCACGTTAGAATATATGCACGGTCGTTTAATGCACATGACACAAACGTCCAATATGATTTTTTTTTGGATCCAATACAGATATATATTTTAGACGGTCACGAGGTACAAATGAGGATTGTTGATTGGTTAGATTTATTTGATATATAATACAAATTTATATAATATTCGGATCATATACTTCACAAATGCCAACAACATCCATATTAGATTTCGTGGTTTGTTGCTATGTCTGATTTTTAATGGTATCAACATTATTATTGATCAAAAACCTTCTATTATAGAGCAATTCATTTTAACAGGTGTATTCTTTATTCAAAGGTTATAGAAAAGGAAGATTCAAAAGTTAATTTATGTATTTTGTTATCTTGATTCTGTAAAATTTCATGTACATTTTGTAATATTAAGACGAAAATAATATAAATTATAGCCGTTTGAGCAAGCGCATTAAAAGGTATATCGCGTTTTTGATGAAATAACCACAAAGCTATATTTGCAAACTTACCAGCAAATT